GACCACACTGGGATCCTGTATGCGTGTTTCGGAGACACAGCATACATCAATGGAAAGAGACTCTAGGGTTTTAGCCAAGGAAGCCTGCTGACCGATTTGACATAGAGTGCGTACGTTGAAAGCTCCAATGTGTAGTTTGGAGCGAGGTTTCAGTAGACCTGGGACAGAGTTTTGAGCACTAGAATCGTTGGCTATGGTGACACTTGAGGAGGAAGCCAAAGGAGGAAGTTTAGGGTTGAAAGTCGATGTAGGAGGAATAATAGGAATTGAAGAGGAAGGTTGATTATGAATACAGTGGTCTTGGGTGCTGTTAGAGGTATGAGGGCGGTTATCACTTCCCGGTTGCCCACACCGTGGAAGGGTTCTTCTGGAGGTACCTGAAAAGGAAATTGGATTAGAGGTGGCCTCAGTGACCTGAGAGCGTGACCGCAGTGCCCAAGGGACAACTGCTTGAGGCCGGTCGCGCACGGCCTTTTCGTGGAAGGTTTTCGACGTGTTAGCTCCGTTCTTCAAAGGGCCTTACCGCCGGAGACGGAAATCCGTGGGTAAGGTGAGGTGTGCATTTTTAGGGTCGACCTTTTCTAACCCCACCCCTCCTTGTGGGAAGGCAGCATCGCTGTCATGCTGGTTGTCTGAAGGAAACACCTTACTGCTGTCACACCTCTGTACAGTCAGCAGTACGACTTCGCCTTCGGACCTTGGGTTTGTTGCTTTTAGTCTTACCGCTCTTCAACCGACCTGTCTGACATGGTAGGACCTTGAGGAACGGTTGTTCCAGCCAGTATAGCTCGGTTGCTTCATCACGATAGGCAAGCCCGACCACCACGTCAAGGTAGCAACAACGGTCGGGAGTAGCAACAACGGTCGGGTAGAATACTTCAAGGAACTCCTGAATAGGCCGGCTCCAATGAATCCATCGGACATCGAAGCAGCACACACAGATCTTCCCATAGACGTCAACCCATCAACGACGGAAGAAATTAGAATGGCCGTCAGACAAATCAAGAACGGGAAAGCAGCAGGACCCGACAACATACCAGCTGAAGCACTGAAGTCAGACATCGAAGCAACCACAAGCATGCTATACCTTCTATTCAAAAAGATTTGGGAGGAGGAACAAGTGCCGATGGACTGGAAAGAAGGACACCTCGTCAAGATTCCAAAGAAAGGAGATCTGAGCAAATGTGAAAACTACAGAGGCATTACACTACTGTCAATACCAGGGAAAGTCTTCAACAGAGTGTTGCTGAACCGAATGAAAGATGCAGTAGACGCCCAACTTCGAGATCAACAAGCTGGATTCCGTAAGGATCGGTCGTGCACAGACCAAATTGCAACACTACAAATAATCGTCGAACAATCAGTTGAGTGGAACTCATCACTATACATTAACTTCATTGATTATGAAAAGGCGTTTGACAGTGTGGATAGGAGGACGTTAAGGAAACTTCTTCGACACTACAGAGTTCCCGAGAAGATTGTCAATATTATCCGGAACTCATACGACGGACTACAATGCAAAGTAGTGCATGGACGACAGCTGACAGATGCATTCCAAGTAAGGACCGGAGTCAGACAAGGCTGTCTACTCTCTCCCTTCCTCTTTCTTCTGGTGGTCGACTGGATTATGAAGACCTCGACATCTGAAGGAAAACACGGAATACAATGGACAGCTCAGAACTAATTAAACGATCTGGACTTCGCAGATGACCTAGCCCTCCTATCACGTACACACGAACAGATGCAGATGAAGACAGCCAGTGTAGCAGCAGTCTCTGCATCAGTAGGCCTCAACATAAACAAGGGGAAAACCAAGGTCCTCAAATACCACACGGAGAACAGCAATCCAATCACTCTTGATGGCGAAACTCTGGAAGATGTAGAATCCTTCACATAGCTAGGAAGCATCATCGATGAACAAGGAGGAGCAGATGCAGACGTAAAGGTGAGGATTGGCAAAGCAAGGACAGCATTCCTACAGTTGAAGAACATATGGAACTCAAAACAACTTTCAACCAATATCAAAGTGAGGACCTTCAATACGAACGTCAATGCAGTTCTACTGTACGGAGCGGAAACTTGGAGAACTACAACAACCACAATCAAGAACGTACAAGTATTTATAAATAGCTGCCTTCGCAAGATACTGGCGGCCTGCTTGAATATCTGGGCTACCTGTTCCTCCGATCTAGATATTTCATCGAGTTATTTGTTTTGTTGTTTGTTTTAGCACATCATTATGTCTATTGTGCGCACAATCTATTCAGACGCGTTTATGAAAAGTTTACAACCTTTCGCTATACGTGATACAAAAAGGTACAATCACCGACATCATGGTGGCTGGCAATATGCATTGAAACGAATAAACATTAATCAAATGTGGATTACCGAACTCCTAACATCTAACCGGTCATCATTCAAAATTTATCGTCACAATAGATCAAGGTATAAGAAAAGAAAACTTGTTGAAATACTTTATGCTGAGAATTCTATGTTGTACCAAAAATATAATGTTGAATAAGCTTCTTAAAAAAGAATACTCAACATCCATTGGTCGGATACCATCAGCAACAGCCTTTTGTGGGAGAGAACAAATCAGCTTCCAACTGAAGAAGAAATTAGGAAAAGACGATGGAAATGGATAGGACATACATTACGCAAATCGTCAAACTGCATCACGAGACAAGCCCTAACTTGGAATCCTGAAGGGAAGCGGAAAAGAGAGAAGCCAAAGAACACATTACGTCGGGAAATGGAGGCAGATATGAAAAGGATGAATAACAACTGGAAGGAGCTAGAAAGGATTGCCCAGGACAGGGTTGGATGGAGAATGCTGGTGAGCGGCCTATGCTCCTTCACGATGAGTAACAGGCGTAAGTAAGTAAGTAAGTAAGTATCTCAATCAGTTGAGTTGTCTGTTTTATTTGCTGGAGATTGTATGTGCTTACAACTTATATTATGTTGATAGGATAAAAATAACATAGGGTTTAATAATACACTATTTATTTCTCCATCTAGGTTTCTGTTAAGAAATGATGTGGAAAACGTAAAACCTTGGATTTTACAATCTACACAACCTCCTTTAATAACTATAAGTAATTCATTAATACAGGTAGGATTTGTGAAGGTTCACGAATTTCGATAATTTAAATCATGAACCAATCTTAGTTAGACCACCACCACAAACCTGGAAGTACTAAAAGGCTGATTCATACTAGTATGGGGCATTTCAGCAGTGTGCACCCACGATGCAGCATCTGGGATCACCGAGCCGGTATCCGATGGTGTTAATGTCTGACTTTAATCAATACGCGATATTACGCAATCCTCATCCAGTGCTTGTGGTGGATAACTGTTTCACGCCAGAAACGCATTGAACGTCACTGATCATGGTTTCTTAATAAAACCCCCAGAGTTGAATCTTGAAGCTAGTCATCAGTGAACCAGTGATCTAAAGATTAAGCCTTCGCACGCAAGACCGAAGGTCCTAGGTCCAATTTCCGGATTTGGATGCACAATACCGGGGAATGCCACACTGGGATGAAACGGCGGTCAGGTACTTCCAGGTTTGCAGTGGAGGTCCAACTAAGATTGGTTCGTGATGGAAATTCTACAATCTTTACAAATCTCCCTACAATAATTAAGAATAACTTCCTCAGTTTTTTAAGTGTTTTTGCATATATTTCATTTTATATATGTGAACAGTAGCAAGTAATGGTAACTATCTATCGCATATTTTAAAGTTATAATTCGGGGTTTAAGAAAGTGAAATGTAAAACAACAAAAAAAAGCGGATCTTATAACTATCGGAGCAGAAAATGTAATTGGTCCAATATCCTAATTTGATCTTAATGAGAATGTCAATCAGCATTCGTTTACGTAAGTGTATATTGTAGGTTACTCAGTAAATTATTATTTACTTTTTAGTAAAAGGAATACACCCATTCAGACATTAAAGAAGAAAGATTAGTTCAGCGAAGAGTTCTCTTTTCGGCGAATTCATTTTCAATGCTGTACAATCGCAAATATATATACTTATTTTTACCGGGTGATAATAATACTGATAATAAACTTATGTTATACATGGTGACAGTGAGGTTAAATAAACAAAGGTATTAGAAAATTTTTAAAACAAGGAAAGTTTAATAATCGTTTGATCGTTAATGGCTTGAGTATTCATCAAAAGATAGGGAAATTATCATTGGGAAAGGATGGCTCAGCATGATAAAATAAAATGTTGAAATAGAGATGAAATGTAATCGGAATGATCATGGAAATAAAAACAAACCAGTTGGGGGTAGAAGATTTAAGGGGAAGATAGAAGGTGAAGCAGATGGCTGTAAAGGAACGAGAGTATGAAAAAGAGGGAAAAATTTTAATACATTAAGACGATGGTAGAAGAAGAGGTTGTATCAGTCTCCTTTGCATATACAATTCTGGTTTTTCCAGATGTATGGCTATTGCTTCGGCAACGCAAAGAAGATGCAGTCTAATTGTCTTCCGAAGACTTCTACTTACCTTGTAGATGACTTTGAACGCAGTCTGTCTTGATTGAGTGACCCGTGTTCACAAGGTGTTCGATTATTAATACCTTTGTTTATTTAACCTCACTGTCACCATGTATAACATAAGTTTATTATCAGTATTATTATCATCCTGTAAAAATAAGTATATATATATATATATATATATGCGATTGTACAGCATTGAAAATGAATTCGCCGAAAGGGAACTCTTCGCTGAACTAATCTTTCTTATTATTTATTTATTATTACTGGCTTTATACAATATTATATTTTCGTTACAATATAGAATTCTCAGCACAAATAGACCAGCATTATGATTTACTGAGTTACGTGTATTTGTGTTGTCAATGGGAGGATGATTTATTTCTAAAGGATTGGAAATAATGATTATGATAAAATAGTACATATACATAGCATACTATAAATATATAGCATGAAACATTATACAGTGATAATAATAAAAATAAAATGTACCTTGAATAGCTCTATGAACATCATTTTTAGCTTTAACCAAATACAAAGTAACCATAAGAAATAAAAAACCACCTAGAGCACAAACAAACGCAGTAAGAAATAATGCTCTTTGTAAGCCTAAATATTGTGTTTCTAATGAATGCAGATCTGTAAAAGCTACTGCAATCTGAAATGAAAAATAAAAATGAGAAAAAACATAAGTCTTATTCAATCTTTATTTATTACTTAAGAATAGTGAATAATCACAATAATATAGAAGAGAAATAAATTATTTCAACCAGATATTCGCAGGAAAAAAACTATTAAACCACCAGTAAACAAATAAGAATTTTATAGCATTATGATTTCTAATTACTCGAGACCTCTTCAGTTTTCCTTAAGAAAAATAATAGGGTATATGAAACAACTTAGTTTAAACAGGGTATGTTTACTAACTAGTGAGTAGATATTGACTTTATGAAATGACTACTATAATTTTTTATTCTATAACCAATAATTGATCTCGTTGCCTGACACGTTCAATTGTCCTGTCAAACACTGAAGGGTGTAACAGGTGAACACGTAATATTTTTGAACCAATACTATGTATACTCTCATGTGCCAAATTCATAATGTTTATATTAAAAATAAAAAAAGCAAGTAGCACCAAATAATGTTATTCTAGCGGTCTGGTACACAGTGACGATTCACAACTGAGATGCCCTACTTCTAAATCTTACTGACTAATCTTTCTTAGTCGATTACAATACTGTCTGATAAATAGACATTTTTCATAGGGTACTTCACTAACTTATTTCTTATGGAGTAAAAGAATTGGTGACTTTTATTTGTCATGGGTTCGTTGGTAGTTCATAGTGGGTCAGTTTGTTAGAATAAATGAATATTTAGCAGATTAACTCAATAGTGCCCTTTAATCATTATTTTTAAGTACAGTTGGATAGTGGCTAACAGTGAAAACTACGATGCACGTTCTGTTGGTTAGATATATCTACATCTCAGTGGGAATAAAGTAGTAGAAAAATATCTTAGTCTTTTACGTTAATATATATATATAAAGTTAGATCTAGTGTTTGTGGTATTACGAAACAAGAGAATATCACTTACCCGACCAACAATAGCCGGACTGATGGCATCTCCTAGTGCATGACTCATAACCATTTGAAGAGCAGATGCTGTCGAACGGCGAGTAGGAATAACTACTCCCTAAAGGAAAATAGTAAAAACTTAAATGAAATACTGCTATGAACTGATCAAATAATGCATTACTTTGAATTATACTCTAATAGTACACAGTGATAGAAAGAGAAAATAACAATAAACGAAGGAGACATTTGTATATGCTTTTTATATACACTTAGAACGATTGATAAGAGGGCAAGTATTTTATTATTTTATTTATTTTAACACATAGATATTGGTACAAGAAGGCACCGAATACATATGCGCCACACAGACCTCATTCGATATGTGTGAGGGCTGGGATACTGCCCGGGTGCCCAAACCGAAGCAGGTGGTTTTCTTAGGGAGCCACACCCCGAGCCTTCGACCTGAAGGTCTGATTCACAAGGCAGTGGAGCATCGTAAGGAGATGCAGTCCCATGGTAGCCGGTGACCAACAATTGGTTCATACGCCATTTGTTCCCACAAGGTACTGGAGCCCATATGCACCATTGGTTTGGAATCCGGTTAAAGCGCCGGACATTAGCTTTTCGTCCTCTCATTTTCGTAAACAACACCCCCGCCACGAGAAGGCAGTTAGTAGGACTTCCCTGGCAGAGGCTATATATGCGTAGCCATGTGAGAGCATTTCGAGAGGGAGAGCGGACTCTCCCCACTCTCGGCCGTACCAGGGTATTTGGGGGGCAAGTAACCACGTTTTTCAAAATGGTGGTAAGATACTTCACATATCAATGATAATAACCAAGTTAAAACATTTGAGGAATTCAAAATAATATTTGATGACTATTTCAACTGAACGTTTTGACAATGAGTATGAGGGATATACAATACTACACAAATAAGTGTTAGATAATTTCTCAGAAATGTTATCTGATATGGGTATTGATGTGGGCACATCAGAATCAGTATACTTATTCAAACAATCTCAATAGTCGAATATGTCATTTAGAACTGTGAAACATATCAAAAGTATATGAAACAATAATACTGTACGCTTTTTATTATTAACAGTGGATTTGTTATAATGTATCGCCTGTACCGCCTGTAGCTCTAACAGGGTTACTGCCGATCCCAAGCCCGGGTAAAGGAGGAGGGTTGGGCATGGGGTTAGCGTCCCCATCCCGTAGAAAACTAACTCGCTAAAAAAACGCTTACCAGAAAAAATAATTCAAACCATTTAAACTCTGCCCTGGGAGTTAGAAGGTCTTCAGTTAGAAGAATTATGACGCTTCATGGTGAAAGCCGAGTTCCTTCGGAAGCCACGAGGCCGATGCCCCTTCTAACAACCAGAGCAAAAATTTTTATAGGTACATGGAACGTTCGAACAATGTGGGAAACCGGGAAGACCAGTCAAATAGCAATGGAAATGAGGAGATACAACTTAGCAGTACTGGGAATCAGCGAAACCCACTGGACCCAAGCTGGACAGAAAAGGCTAGCTACGGGAGAGATGCTGCTATACTCCGGTCACGAAGAGGAAAATGCTCCACACACTCAGGGAGTCGCTCTTATGCTGTCCAAAGTAGCACGAAATGCACTTGTAGGATGGGAGTCTCACGGATCCAGAATCATCAAAGCATCATTCAAAACAAAGAAGGAGGGGATCTTAATGAATATTATCCAATGTTATGCACCCACCAATGATAGCAACGACGACATTAAAGATCAGTTCTACGAGCGGCTGCAGTCAATCATTGAGAAATGCCAAGAAAGGACCTAACTATTCTGATGGGAGATCTAAATGCCAAAGTCGGAATAGACAACACTGGATATGAAGATATTATGGGACGACATGGACTGGGACAGAGAAACGAAAATGGAGAAAGATTTGCAAATCTATGTGCATTCAACAAATTGGTCATAGGAGGCACAATATTTCCACACAAGCGTATACACAAGGCTACATGGATCTCACCGGACCACACTACAGAGAACCAAATAGATCATATTTGCATCAACAAAAAATTCCGAAGGACAATGGAAGATGTGAGAACCAGGAGAGGTGCTGACGTAGCTTCAGATCACCACCTAGTTGTAGCCAATTTAAAACTGAAGCTAAAAAAGAACTGGACAAGTGGACAAACAGCACTACAAAGGTTCAATACAGCCTTCCTTCGAGATACTGACAAACTCAATGAATTCAAGATAGCTCTCAACAACAGGTTCCAAGCCTTACAAGATCTACTGAAGAAGAAGAAACTACTATGGAGGACAACTGGAAAGGCATCAAGGAAGCATTAACTTCAACGTGTCAAGAGGTTCTGGGCCTAAAGAAACACCATCATAAGGAATGGATCTCTATAGAAACACTGGACAAGATCAAAGAAAGGAAGAACAAGAAGGCAGCAATTAACAACAGCCGAACACGAGCAGAGAAAGTCCAAGCACAAGCTGAATACATAGAAGCAAACAAACAAGTGAAGAGGAGCATTAGAGCCGACAAGAAGAAATACGTGGAAGAACTAGCAACGACGGCAGAAAAAGCTGCTAGAGAAGGAAATATGAAACAGCTTTACGATACAACGAAGAAACTAGCAGGGAAATACAGTAAACCAGAGAGGCCGGTCAAAGACAAAGAAGGCAAGCCAATCACCGAAATTCAACAACAGCGTAACAGATGGGTAGAATACTTCGAGGAACTCCTGAATAGGCCGGCTCCAATGAATCCACCGGACATCGAAGCAGCACACATAGATCTTCCTATAGATGTCAACCCACCAACGACGGAAGAAATTAGAATGGCCGTCAGACAAATCAAGAACGGGAAAGCAGCAGGACCCGACAACATACCAGCTGAAGCACTGAAATCAGACATCGAAGCAACCACAAGCATGCTATACCTTCTATTCAAAAAGATTTGGGAGGAGGAACAAGTGCCGATGGACTGGAAAGAAGGACACCTCGTCAAGATTCCAAAGAAAGGAGATCTGAGCAAATGTGAAAACTACAGAGGCATTACACTACTGTCAATACCAGGGAAAGTCTTCAACAGAGTGTTGCTGAACCGGATGAAGGATGCAGTAGACGCCCAACTTCGAGATCAACAAGCTGGATTCCGTAAGGATCGGTCGTGCACAGACCAAATTGCAACACTACGGATCATCGTCGAACAATCAGTTGAGTGGAACTCATCACTATACATCAACTTCATTGATTATGAAAAGGCATTCGACAGTGTAGATAGGAGGACATTATGGAAACTTCTTCGACACTACGGAGTTCCTGAGAAGATTGTCAACATTATCCGGAACTCATACGACGGACTACAGTGCAAAGTAGTGCATGGAGGACAGCTGACAGATGCATTCCAAGTAAGGACTGGAGTCAGACAAGGCTGTTTACTCTCTCCCTTCCTCTTTCTTCTGGTGGTCGACTGGATTATGAAGACCTCGACATCTGAAGGAAAACACGGAATACAATGGACAACTCAGAATCAATTAGACGATTTGGACTTCGCAGACGACCTAGCCCTCCTATCACGTACACACGAACAGATGCAGATGAAGACAGCCAGTGTAGCAGCAGTCTCTGCATCAGTAGGCCTCAGCATACACAAAGGGAAAACCAAGGTCCTCAAATTCAAAGCGGAAACAGCAATCCAATCACTCTTGATGGCGAAACTCTGGAAGATGTAGAGTCCTTCACATACCTAGGAAGCATCATCGATGAACAAGGAGGTTCAGATGCAGACGTAAAAGGGGCCGCATCACTACAATTGAAGAACATATGGAACTCAAAACAACTTTCAACCAATATCAAAGTGAGAATCTTCAATACGAACGTCAAGGCAGTTCTACTGTATGGAGCTGAAACTTGGAGAACTACAACAACCACAATCAAGAAAGTACAAGTATTTATAAATAGCTGCCTACGCAAGATACTCAACATCCACTGGCCGGATACCATCAGCAATAGCCTTCTGTGGGAGAGAACAAATCAACTTCCAGCTGAAGAAGAAATTAGGAAAAGACGATGGAAATGGATAGGACATACATTACGCAAATCGTCAAACTGCATCATGAGGCAAGCCGTGACTTGGAATCCTGAAGGGAAGCGGAAAAGAGAGAAGCCAAAGAACACATTACGTCGGGAAATAGAGGCAGATATGAAAAGGATGAATAACAACTGGTAGGAGCTGGAAACAATTGCCCAGGACAGGGTTGGATTGAGAATGCTGGTGAGTGGCCTATGCTCCTTCACGAGGAGTAACAGGCGTAATTAAGTAAGTAAGATAGAAGGATTAGTTGACTAATATTTTACTCGGATAAGCAGTTTCTTTGCAATTCTCATCGTAAACGAATGATGAACTGAAGAAATCTGTGATTAAATTCTCCCAATTAATACATATCGTTTCGCATTCGCTATAACGGTTGGTTAAGAAATCGACTAGCCAATAATCGTAAAGTAATACAAATCAAAGTATTGATTAGTATCTTTATCTGTTGATAGACAAGCAGGAATCTAGACTGTACCACAGATTGCACAACCTGATGGAAACTTCGTGTTTTTCTGAAGAGATTTTATTAGCCGTCAACCTAATGGGACTGATGAAACCTTAAAGATTTATTTATCTGAGAAATAAAAGGCCACAATTCAAATAGGAAGCCAGTTCGACTATCTATTTACTTACTGATATTTCAATAAGCTTGGTAAAATATGAATCAATAAATTAAGCGCAACCAAAAGACAATTGTCAAGGAGGAAAAATAGAGGAAAACAGTATGATAGCAAGAATAAAAGCATTCCAAAGATGCAGTCCAGTCAAGAGTATGTAGCATCAGTGAAATGTTACTAGGATCTAGTCAAGTAACCCATTAAGTTAGACTGTCCTCTTGCTTGATGATTGGTTAGTGAGTGCCGAACAATTTACCAACTATCGTCAAGGTTAAGGATGACTAGCCAATGTTGATCATATGGACGCTATGCATAGGATCCAAGTGGTAGTGCATCCATACTCTATTCTTCTTTAATTTGTTTTATCGAGTAAATTATATCACTTTGGTAAGAATTTTGCTTGATCTTTACAATCAACGAGAAACCTCCACTGCCTAAGAGTGACTTCAATGTAAGTCAGGTCACACCATTGCCGTTCGACTTGAGTAGACCCACGACCAATATTAGTGGTCTAAAATCATAAATGACACGTTTTTTGTCCATGAAGAGGCCAATAATAAGGGAGTCCTAAAAAGGACTACTATGGCAGTATACGAACTACACAAGATGTGTGAAAATTCTGGGAATCAGCTTATAATTCATGCACTCTTCTAAGGGTTTTATCACTTCTCACTAAGTGAAGCTGTATATGATATCTAAAATGTATCACTAAAAGTAGACATCTGTCTTAGAAAGATATCTGCGTAAATATTGGTAACTGAACTTTATAAGTATCAAACGTATTTGATTGAATAGCCTACATAATCAAGTGTAACGTTGAAATCACCTTTAAATTAATTTGTAACGTCACTAGTGTGCTTTCGAACGTTAACCGAAGTTATAAACTTAACATCTGAACTAGAGACGTATCAATAAATATAGATCAAAAACATGGCATTAAGCAAGCCATTGACATTGTAAGAAGGATATATATCTATACTCAAAGTAGGAAGATAAATAAACTAAAACTATTCGTATATTTTTTGAAGGTCACTCATTTAAATGATCTATTTTTCGTTTCCAACTACTAAAAGGATGTATAATAAACAACTAATCAATACTTACCATAGTCATATCAGTCACAAGGGCCCATGTGATGCATAGAAGGAATTCAACGATGAAAACAAGAACCTGCAAAATCAAAGCAAAAAAGAGATTTGAATTAAATGGTCTAACATCAAGCACAAACTTAATAAAAAAAAAACATAAAAATATGACACAAAACAGTTTTCTTGTATTTGGTTCTTCTTGATCAGACTGTTGATTTGTATGTTATCCCTTTCTTTTAAAAGCTAGTCTTTTGAACACTCATTCTTTCAGGATATCGTGTCAGCTGAGAGAATTGAAAGTAGTGTTCAGGAATTTATTGATGAAAACATTTGCAAGTATAGTGTCATTAAATATAGAATAATAATACAACGTTCGCAGGTGACCACTCAACGATTTTTACTCAGATACATTATGTTTAAAAGATTTACAGTATGTCAGTTTAGTATGTTTTGGTTTTAAAAGCTTGTAAATCTCATCTAGGCGTACTTTTCTATGGTTCGAAACATTCACTGACAGAACAGTCTAAAACTATGAAAAAGCTAGGGGTAACTACGACGAATTTTTCCTATTTCCTCCGAAACACTTTTAGTCAAACATCGTACATATAGCTGATTGTGAACTTCAAAATGTATTGAACTAACTGAGCAGTCGTATCTTTTATTTGAAAAATAATCCTTATTAACAATTGAAGTTCCAAATAAATGAAAAGTACAGAAATTGGTTATCGAAACTAATAGGGATTTCCTACAAAATTTATCTATAATTCATACATTCCATATTCAAAAATAAAGTTGTAGTTGTCCTTAAGCAAACCACAGATTAATAACAATGAAATGTTCGGAAGAGGATGAGAACTATAAAAATTTCAGAAGTGCGGTCATCGAAGTTTTATTTCTCTTAGTTTTAGCAGTGGCCTTAGATAATGATGTTATTGCTTAATAAACTTCATGATAAATTAATATCTAAATTCAGAAGAATTGTACACTACTCAGTAATTAAGATGTGAAGTGTATTATTACATGCAAGATTCTCGGTTAGAAGAGCAATTAATATCTTCGTGAAGCACTGATAGCTCTTTACGTGAACCGTCCAGAACAGAGAATGATACTTATTTATTTAAACACAAACATTGGTACAAGGAGGCACCAAACAGATGTGCGCCACTGATATATATATATATATATATATATATATATATGCACACTGTGTTTTATTGTCAATGTAATTACCATACAATCTGGTATACTAAGGTTGCCACTAGACTGATTACATTAAGATGCGGAATGATCTCACAACAACCACTAGGAATCAAGTATTCGTGTAGTGCAACCATAATTAATCAAATAAACAATAAATACGATCTCAGAGATAAGATTTATTTGACCTACAAACTTTATTAAAATAGCAAGTTTACTTATGGACGGTTGAGTTAAGGTATGATTAAGAAGTAGACCGGTATTTATCGTTTATTATAAGTCCAGTAGGTTTAACTTACTGACATGATGTCAAAGAGTAACATTTTTAAATTAATTATGCATAAAGTAACCGTAAATTATAATAAATATTCGCTAAACAAGATTTAGTTGGTAATCTTTCTTAATATACTTTTGGTTAGTGCTTCAGAAGATAAGTTACCAAGATTTTGGTCAATTTTAATCCCAGTATTTGTGAAAACATAACTTACAATGCACACATAGAAATTCCAGGATGGAGACACCAGAGCTAAGAATAAGAATGGAGCACATATAAAAAGACTTGCAGAACAAACATATGCATCTGCCGCAGGAACCCATCGACGTAAATAACGACCTAGTTTTGCACCAGATAAGACTCCAAAAATACCCGCAAGACATGTTGAAGCTCCAACAACAATGGGAATACTTTAAAAAAATAAAAATGCACAGATAATTGATAAATGGCGGCTATAAAATACTGAGTATATTAGTTAACATATAATTCTTGAGAATGTATATACAGATTTTAACCACTATGTCCACTTGAAAGGTTAAAATCTAAGTGCTAGTTATCATTAGATCTATAAACATATTGTTGTGAACAGAACACGGGTGGGGACAACCGAATGTATTTAGCACGAAAATTACAGACTATCTCAATAAAATCTGAATCCCATAAAGTAAATAGTCAATTTGCGAAATATCAATGCATCATATCAAACTGGACTGTTTTCCGTTGCAAACACCAATCCATTGTCTTCCATTCCATTGTTCATGCGTTTTCTTACAAATTCCAATGTGTTCTCGCTCTTCCTTTCTTGATCTTCCCCTCATCTTCTGCTGCCAGACATTACGTTTTAACTCACGTCATATACTACTTATATCAATATAAGTAGCACACACCACAATATGACACGCTGCTTGCGCACATAATTTGATGATCGGGCTTTGGTTATTTGAGGCAGATATACTGATAGCAAGTGGAATACATTTTGAAGTACAAAAATGTTTGACTCCTAGCAATATCAATGACTGCAAAACTTTCTTAGTATCAGCTTTCTAGAGAAATGGATATCACCTAGGACAACTTAGTGTTTAAAATACCAACACGAGTAAGATACTTTATGGAACCTAAATGACTGCCATAAAAACAAAAGTAACTAGAAAGCACATAAAAAGTTTGTAATTATTAAGCATGAACACTTATTGTAAACAGCTTTAGTTCCAAATAAATAAAAAAACCTTACATGATTCTCTACATTAGAGTTCGCCCAACATAATCGAGACCGACGTTCTAATTGCTTATCGCGGATTTAGTAATTGGATAATAACTGACATAGAATTCTAGCGCAAAAATTACCAAAGTTAAGTAAGTTTTGGTTGCAAAATAACGATACACCAACTCTTGGTTATTAAAGTGTTTAACTACATGGATTTATTCCTGTAATCATGTTTGAAATAATTAGTAAAAATCAAATTAATCGTTAAGAACAAAATAAGACTTGCTTGTAATTCCTCCAGGCAGAAGGATCATCGTTTATTGCATTCAATGCTGACTGGATTAGATCAATCGCGAACCAAGAAAGTGAACCCAAAACAAAACAGACACATGTATATCCACAGCTAATAAACATAAAGGCTTGATTAGATAGTAGGGACTTTATATCTAGCCACCACGAAGTGGTACGCATATGTGAACCTCCTTCTGCTTCACCACGAGGCGGATCTGAATGCAAAACACTCAGTAAAATTATACAAAGTAAGCCCAAAATCGGTGTAATTCGTAAAGCCCACTGCCAAGATCCTGTCAGACGAGTTATTTCTGAACCAACTATGAAACCTAGTCCGCTAAAAAACACAACCAAATTAAAGGGTTGAACATCAAGAACGACCAGACGACTATTGAGTTTACGCAAATGTAGTAGACTTAGTGACATTTAAATATTAAGAAATTAAGATGAAATGAGGAAAAAGAGATTATTGTTAAATTGAAAACTTGTACAAAGTTTATACACAAATCGGATAAGTATGTTCATTTATATAATACGCGAAAAATCAAATATTGACTATTGTCACTAAGCAATAATTACTGTTATTAAACTCTAAATAGATATGACTTTTAAATGTCCCTATGAAAAGAATAAAACAACAATCGAAACTAAGTTACATGTCACATAATGACAACTAATATTACCTTCCAACAGGTGCTGCAAAGTAAAAGAGACCTAAAACTTTGGTTCTTGCATTCCCCATAAACAAATCAGATAGGATTGTTGGAGCCAATGTGGAATAGCTAGCTTCACCGATTCCAACAAAACAGCGAGTAGCTAAAAATAAGCTGAATAGCTAAAAGCATTATAACTATGTCATCGTACATGAGCAGGAACGAAAGAACTCGCCAAAGTAACGATTATCCAAATCGACAGACCAATCTGCATGATTCGTTTTCTTTTCCAACGATCACCAAGATAACCAGCAATAGGACTAAGAATGGTGTAGAATACAAAAAACATGGTCTGCAGCTGGCCTAGTTTTGAGTCGTTTATTTTGTAGTAGCTTTTTACATTCTCGGGAACTCCTGATTAAAATAATATTGGGATTAAACCAGTATTACCAGCGATCGTGAATCTGTCCATGTAATTCAAAACATTTATGAGAACAAAAATGGAAACGGTAATTGTCTTTCTTTTGATGAAACCACACAGTCTGACAATCCGCTATTGCTTCCATACTTAACGGGACGTTCCCAGGACCTTCCCGAAGGGTGGCTAGCCCCAAGGTCACTCATAAGGCATTTAAATTGTGGGGCTGAATGGTTCAAATGGTTCAATCGGTCGTGGACGGAATAGAAAAAGCCTTCGATTAACAGGCTTCCGTGTCTAGTAGCAGTAGATCACCAGAACTTTCAAGCAAAAACCTAGGTATGTTAACAATAAAAGAGGAAAAGAAATTGGTAACTCATAGTATAATACTACCCTTAATCCTTAAGAATAGATCAAGTTGCCTCTTAAAGGACTCCTGGGAAGTCGCTTGGAATAGGTCGGCCGACAGCGATTTCCAGCATTTGACAACTCGTTGTTGTGTCGCCAATTTCTGGGTGTTACCCTTTAAGTTTGTATTGGGACTAAACTTAAGTACGTGTTTAAGGGGATGCCCAGAAGTGTTAAGGATACTGTAAGCCATCAGAAGGTCACCTCTAAGACGCCTATACTCGAATGGGTAAAGGTCAAGCGAATTGAGGCGCTCTTCATAAGGTTTAAATTTGAGTCATCGAACCTATCTCGTGGCTCGCCGTTGGATACGCTCCAGAGTGCCCTTATCCTTTTGGAGTGAGGGAGGAAATACTATGTTTCCGTACTCTAAATGGGATAGGATAAAACCTTCGAAGATTATATGTAAATTCCTTCCGTCAAACTAGCCAAAAATGCGCCTCAATGTTACCAGTGCAAGGTTTGCTCGGGAGGCATTTTTGTCACAGTTAGCGTAAGACTTTAAATCATGGGGCACCAGGACTCCTAAATCTTTTTCGACTTGGGATACTACTAGAGAGGAGTTTCCCAAGTCGTAACTATAGTCTGCGACGTGTCCCAGACGGAATACTTTACACTTTGAAGCGCTAAAGGTAGGTCCGTTATCGTCTGCCCGACTTTGGAGTCGAGTCAGATCATCCTGAAGTGCCTGTATATCGTCATGGTTGCGTATCTCTCTCCAAAGTTTCACGTCATCGGCAAAAAGTAATAAGTCTGACGTTACCTGTTGAGGAAGATCATAATGTAGATCAAGAAGAGAAGAGGCCCTAGTACTGAGCGCTGGGGAACCCCACTAGGACATTCCATAGCCTGAGATAAAGTGAAATTAACCCTGACCTTAAAATGTCGATTTTTCAAGTGCGTAGTGAGCCAATCGATTAGAGGTGGCCTGATACCCAATCGTTTGAGCTTATTCACAAGACATGTATGGTTAACCTTATCGAAAGCTTTTGAGAAATCTAGGTAGATGATATCAACCTTTCCCTTGTGATCGAGGATGCGTGTCCATCTGTCAACCGCAGTCAGCAGGTTGGTTATACAAGTGTAGCCCTTCCGGAACCCAAGCCGTTGTCGTGAGAAGAAATTTGTGGACAGTAAATAGTCATTTATACCATCGCATATCAGGGACTCCATGATTTTTGAAGGTGTTAAGAGAAGAGCGACCTGTCGGTAACTTGAAGGTTCGCTGCGTCGACCTCCTTTGAAAATTGGCGTGATGTGAGCCAGCTTCCGAGTTTCCGGTAGTTTTCCTCGGCTTAACGAGTGTGAGAACATCTTGCTAGGCAGCGTTGACAGGATTGAGGCTGCTTCCCTCAGTATGGCAGAATGGACCATATCCGGGCAAGGAGACGTGTCAATTCCTAAGTGCTGCAGTTTCCGGAACACCAAGTCAGAGCTAAGGTTCACTTCAGAAAGTTTTTGGGGTTGCAGATGAAGCTTTAATCAATATAGTTGATGTGGGTCGGTTGAAATGTCCGAGAGTATTGTTCAGCCAGAAGGTTAGCGGCATCGCCGTCGTCGTTGATTGGGCCATTAAGACCTAGCAGCTGGGAAACTCCAGTTTTGGCTTGACGAAGAGAGGCTGTATAACGGAATAAGCTTATAGTCTTCGTGCATATGTTCCTCATACGTTTGTATTGCCTGTACGGGCCGTTGTTGTCAGTTCGTCCGTATTCTTCCCATCAATGCCTTTTGCGGCTTAGCAGGCGAAGAGTGCGGTTCCTGATGATTGTGGGTTGCTGATAGCTATGGGGGACCGTTTGAGGAACTGAATGCTTTGTAGCACATATGAGCGTGTGCAGTAAGAAGTCCAAATGAGCATCCACATCGAGTTGAGGGTGGACATCCCAATCCACCTGTTGTGGATAGTCCCGTAGAGCTGACACATTCAACCGTTTGAAATTTCAGCCCAATTTGTTGGTGTGATATCTCAGCTCAGTTTTGCTGACGAAACTGAGAGCTATAACGGCGTGATCGCTTTTTCCCAGGGAAGCCAGGATTGAGAGGCTGTCAACTAGGAATTCTTCGTTTGTAAATGCACAGTCTAAACGTGGTGGTGTCTGACTGTTTCTCCAACGAGTTGCCGACTTCACATTTTTGTATAATCCCAAGACCTCAATGAGGTTGAAGAACCGAGCTTCAGTTGAGTTTTCACCTCCAATATACGTATGTTCCGCGAAGTTGACTCTAGGGAGATTGAAGTCCCCTAGAATCAGGATATGAGTGAAACCGAGACCAGTAGAGCGGGGTAGTCCTTCCAGCATACGACCGTCACCACTCGCTCAACAAGTGCATCTTCCAAGCCACGCCGAAAGGCGGATCCGGAAGCGAGTGAAGGTTGGTGTTGGTTCCACCGGTCCTTCGGGTCTGGCGCCCGCCGCTGTCGAGCCCCGTGTTCATACAAGGCGGGAAACTCCAAAGCCGGTGAGTAAAAGCGGCCGTACCCGCCGACCCTTCCCCTCAGGTTGGCCGTTTATTCTATGTGTACGATTACGGCACAAACGCTATGTATCTAGTGGACACTGGGGACAAGTCTCTGTCGTACTAAGTGGTAGCAGCAAGTCACAAGCTACAATGCTTCGACTACGCGCTTCGAATGGCTCAGTTATTCCTACCTATGGCACACGACAACTTGCAGTCAACCTGGGCAAACGACGACGGTATCTGTGGACGTTCGTCATTGCTGATGTTCTCACAGCCGTACTAGGTATTGATTTCCTACAGCACTATGAAGTGCTAGTCGATTCACATAGGCTGCAGCCAGTCGATACTTCGTCAGACAGCAAATCCATGGGTTGCAAAGCCCACACAAACGCGTATTGAATCCTTGGCACTTTTTATTCGCGTGACGATAAATTCCACTCTTTATTCGAGAAATTCCCCAAACTAACTAGACCACTCCGAGAGATTCCAACGGTGACCAATCGTGTGGCGCACCACATAGTCACCCTCGGACCCCCAGTGACGGCAAGACCATACCGGCTGGCACCGGACAAGTTAGATTTCGCAAATCGTGAGTCTGACAGTTTACTAGCTACTGGTATAATTCGTCCTTCTCACGGCCCCTGTGCCCCTCCTCTTCATATGGTGCGCAAAAAGGATGGGGTTAGTTGGAGACCATGTGGCGACTACCGGGCACTAAACGTAGTTACGCGCTTTGATAGCTACCCCGTCCCCCATATGCATGACATCACGGCATCGGTCAAGGGCACGACTATCTTTTCTAAGATAGATCTGGTTCGAGCATATCATCAGATCCCAGTCGCTCTTGAAGATATCGAAAAAACTGCTATCACGAATCCTTTCGGTCTGTTTGAGTTCCTACGAATACCTTTCGGATTACGGAATGCTGCTCAAACTTTCCAAAGGTCTATCGATAGCATAGTACGAAACTTAGATTTTTTCACGTCTATATTGATGACCTGCTTATCTCATCATCAAACGTACATGAACATTATTAACATATTATACTCTTATTCCAACGTCTTTCGGATAATGGAATATTAGCCAACCCAGACAAGTGTGAATTAGGCAAACCAGAAATAATGTTCTTGGGTCACATCATTAGGCAAGAAGGTATTTTACCTTGCGAAGACAAAGTGCGAGCAATAAGGGAGTACAACGTGCCGTCCACACTGAAGGAACTAAAGGCGTTTCTTGATTTGGTTAACCTCTGTCGACGCTTCATCCCACACGCGACAGAACGGTTACGACCATTAACTGATTTACTTCTCGGTAATCCACGAAAATTAGAATTGAACGATGCCACATGCACTGCATTTTCAGAGATCAAAACGACTCTGGCTCAAGTCACACTCCTCGCTCATTCTGACCCATCAGCCACGCTTAGAATAGCGGTTGATGTATCGGATTTCGCTATAGGAGCCGTTATGCAATAGAACATCTCCGGTAGTTGAAAACCTCTCAATTTTTTTTACGACGCCTTACCCTCACGCAGACTAGATATATAACGATTTTAGTCAAGAACTGCTAGCAGCCTGCTGTGCCAACAAACATTTGCGACACACAGTAGAAGGTCGCAGTTTCATTTTATTCATCGACCAAAGGCCTTTAAAGTATGCTCTGCATACCAAGTCTGACCGCTACTCACCACGAGAATGTAGACATTCGGACTATATCTCTCAGTTCACGACAGACATTCGTCACATTAAAGGCTGGTCGAACTATGTCGCTGATGCTCTGTCATATATCCAAGTGAGTGCCGTTACTTCACCGGTGCTCGATCTTCCTGTTATGGCCGCCACCCAGGCAAACGGTCTCTGTTGTACAAAAGCACCACAATCTACATCCCTTCAGTGCCAGGAAGTACTACTAGCTACTAGCTCAGACAATATCCTATGCGATATTTCTACCGGTCTTTCCCGACACATCGTACCCTCTGCTTACCGTCGTCTCGTCTTCGATACCCTGCATGGACCGTCTCATCCAGGTATCGCAGCTACATTACGTCTCATTGCTGCACGATACGTCTGGCCGTCCATGAATAAAGATGTCCGTATGTGGGTAAAGTAACGCTTGCAATGTCAACGATCAAAAGTGCACAGGCACGTAGCTGCCCTCATCGGCACGTTCGCTACACCTGATGCTCGCTTTGATCACGTTCATATAGATATTGTGGGACCCTTGCCACCATCGCATGTGTATGATCACATACTCATGTGCATCGATCGTTTTAAAAGATGACCCGAAGCTATTCCCGTCACGTCTATTACGGCGGAGACAGTTGCTCACCGCTTCGTAGATCGATGGATGGCTCTGTATGGTTGTCC